TGGTCGACCAAAATTCAGATAACATTAAAAATGTAAAATTATGCACAACACGAATATCACCAGCATTAAATACTCAGCTTTGTAGGGATAATTCATAATCCAAAAGTGAAAAAGTTTAGAAGTAATATGTACAAAATATGTTACTGCTTCATTACTATATCCTATATAAAATTGCTTTAACACTAATTTTGACATTTGATAAGATGTCCTAATTCCTTTTTTGTCTTTCAGCTTGTAATAGTATATTCCAGTTAAATGGATTATTATAGTCCAATGTTTTGGAGAAATCCTTGATACTCAACCTACACACACCTTTCCATTTCCCAGACATTTTGATATTAGTTATTCCAAAATAAATGTGTATTTAGTCTGAATCAAAATTAAATAGTTCAAAAATCTGTATAACCTACTTTGGTAAAGCTAAGCCACTTTTTGAGCAAAAGTTATTCTTTTAACTGCTTAATCTGCATTGAAAAAACTGGACACTAAAGGCAGCATGTACTGGTTTTCAATATACAACTACTTAATGGGATATTCCTAAATGGGAGGAGCTAAACTACACCAAAGTTTATGTGCAAACAAACAAAGGACAAAGGAAAGCCAGATGCCACAAGTGGTCACTAATTAACAAAACATGTATATTTGTAATGGAACTGATGTAATTAAACCACCCTGCTTAGAACACCTGATAAACTCACATGTAGCCGATTAAGATATGATAATAAATCTGCTTCTTCTCAATAGTAAAGAAAACAAAAAATCCTGTGAAAATCCGAAAATAATGACTACTGAGTGTATATAATGAAAATCAAACTATGTATAAACATAACTTATATAACATATAAGTAACTACTAGTATTTATTTTTGTAAAGTTTTCTCCGACATTTAAATTATTGGGTATATTTTTGAAGAACTACGGATAGGAGTCGGGATTTCATCGGAAGCGGACCCGCTATGACCGAAATCCGGATTCTTGCGATAATGACTACGGACGCATGAATGGCACTGCTGACAGACAAAAATTGATCCCAAAAGGAAAATTTACGCATTCCACATGCATTAATGTACTTTTGGTTAATGTTTATATTTCCTTTTTAATGCATTGTTTCAATTTATAAGTTAATGTTGCTCAACCATGTCTATTACACTAATATAAAATAATTATATTATTTCCAAGGTTAAATGAATATATCTTTTTAATGAAAAATAATTAATTTCTTGAACATGGTAACAGAGTAGTTTTTTTAATTGAATTGTATATACAGTATAAACATGTAACATACACTAAGAGATTCCTGACTGGTAATATACATATATATAGTGTATATGCAGGGAGGTTGATATATTTGCCTGGTGCATATGCATGGATCTAAATTAGAGGACATACAGAATCAAAAGATATTTTTTATGTTCATATTAATAGAAGGTTAATATACTGGTCTGTTTTCATTTCATTGTTCTTGTATTTTGATAAATTATTAAAAACAAAAACAAAAACAAAAAAATGTCACTTATAATGGTTTTATTTTTATTTTTAGTGTCGACTGGACCAACTTTGCACTTTTATTTTTTTTTTATTTTGTCCCCTCAACCCTAATTTTTTACAAATTTTCTCGTTAAACAGATAAAAAAAAAGTCTGGCCTTATCATACAAATTGCTTAATTTGCCCAAAATGTAGCATGAACAACTAAACAATGAAACTTGCTTCCTTGAGCTTCAAGTATTTACAATCTGTGCATGATGAATTTGATATGACTGCAAAAATTTGTATAAAATTATGACTTTGTGGCGTGGTTATTGTCATTGTTGTCGTCTGAAGACTTTAACTGAAGTATATGTACTGTAAATCAGATATTATTGCAAGGTTTTTATTAATGCGAATAATGCGACAGGGTAAGTATCGCAATAATAAGAACTCACATTTTTATAACTGAAACATAGATCTTTATGCAGATCATTTTGTAATCGCATCAATTAAACTGGCAATTATGTCCATTCATGAAAAATCACAATAATTTCTGAATTTAAAGTAGATATATAAATAAGAATGAGACAACTCTCCATCCAAGTCACAATATTTAAAAGTAAACCATTATAGGTCAAAGTATGGTCCTCAACATGGAGCCTTGGCTCACACAGAATAGCAGGCTAATCCATTATCCAAGATGGCCACCATTTTGGGACTTCATTTAATATAGGACCCTATGGGCAATACATACAAATGTTGTTACTTCAAAGCTGATCCAACATCAAAGATGGCCACCAGCGTGGGACTTCATACAAATGTCTTCTTTTAGAGAATCACTGAATGGAATGAAACCAGACATGGCATGAATGTACCTTATGAGGTTCTGACCAAGTGATGTATCAAATCCAGCAACCAAGATAGCTGCCAACGGCAACTAGGTTTAACAAAGGACCCTATGGGAAATATATACAAATGTCTTTTTCTAAATAACCGCTAAATGGAATGAAACAAAACATGGCATACATGTTCCTTATGAGGTACTGATGAAGTGTTGCTACTTTGTTGCCCATTTACTGTTCAAGATGGCTACCAGGATATCTATAAAATTACGGGCCAATATTAAACTAAATTTGGCCTTAATCATTATTAAGGTATCTGTTATGATTTCAATATATTTTTACATGATTTCTAAAACCAAAGTAAAATCAGGTGAGCTACACAGGCTCTTGAGAGCCTCTATTTATTTTATTTTCTGGTGTATTTTTACATGCCAAATTCATATGTGGAAAAATTCTTTGTGAAGAAGTTAATTACAGACACTTTGCCTAAATCAACATATTTAAGTCTTTCTTAACCTGGCATTTATATAACCAGTATGTATGCATAGAAAAAACAAAAGTACATTTTTTATTTCAGCTGAACTGACCTGGTCAAGTAAGCTTTTCTCATTACTTAGTGTCGGTTGTCGGCGGTGGCGGCATTCTTGTCGTTGTCCTTTAACTTTTTCGAAAATCTTCTCCTCTGAAACAACTGGGCCGAATTAAACTAAACTTGGCCACAATCATTGTTGGGTATCTAGTTTTAAAAATGTGTTCGAGGACTCCACCTGCTTACCAACATGGCCACCATGGATCAATCTAATTAAAATTAAATCTCTGCACTTGCTCATTTTTTTATGCTTGGTCACTGCGTGGGAGAATTAAATCTCCGTGCGGAGATTTAATTTTAATTAGATTGACCATGGATAAAATTAGAACAAAGAGGGTAAATGCAGTTTTTGGCTGAAACTAAAGCATTTAGAGTAAATTTGGCATTGGTTAAAATGATTATCAGGTTTAGGTCTATCTGCAATTTTCAGACTGATCAGACAACCAGTTTGTTGGGTTGCTGTCCCTGAATTGGTAATTTTAAGGAAATTATGCAGTTTTTGGTTTTTATCTTGAATTTTATTATAGATAGAGATAAACTGTATATTTATAGCATTAAATGTTCATCAAAGTAAGATCTATGAATAAGTCAATATGGCCAAAAAGGTCAATTGACTCCTTATTATTAAGGACTTATTGTCCTATATAGTTAATTTTTAACAAAAAAAATTTTGTAAATTTTTGTAATCTTTTACAAAATTCTTCTCCACTTAATCAACTGGGCCAAATAAAACTAAACTTAGCCATAATTTTCAGTAGGGTATCTTGATTGAAAAATGTATTTGATGACCCTGCCATCCAACCAACATGGCCACAATGGCTAAAAATAAAACATAGGGGTTTACTCTATAGAAGTCTATTGGAAAATTGTTAAAAAACAATTTCAAATGGTCACAACTTGAACACGAATTTTAATAATGATAAGGGTCTTCAGTAACTATTGTAAGACCCCGTTTATACTAGGACATTTTTATCGATTTAAACTATACTGGTTCACTTTAGGTCGATTTAAGGGCCAATGTGAACCTTTTGAATCGATCTTCAGTTGGTCTAAACTAAAACACCAAAAGAGGTAGTCTAGTTTGAATCAATCTATTTTTAAAGTAAACCGATTTTACTTTAAATGTGACGCAGAGATCGGTTTAAACTAGTACGATTGAATTGAAAATAACATATGCGCATGTATAGCGACAAAACTATCTCAGAGGTTCGTTGTTTAACCCAGATTTCTCTGTTAACAGACATGTAAAAGAAACAGAAAACATATTGTCTTTGCTGTAGCATAGATTTGCGAAATCTGTGTCCTCTTTTCTTATGTTGATTTTTTTACTTTTCAGGAACCGCAGTGGTTCGTCATGTTGTAACTTTGTTGCTACAGTTTTTTTTTTCAAATTAAAGAAAACTGCAATAACACTAGTATCAAAATTTTAACTTGTGATTCAAGAGAAACAATAACTTTAGCCAATTTTTTTTTAAGTGTGTGTATCAGTGTATCAACACATTAATTTGATAAATCAGTTCTTTTTATACACAATGTTTACAGTTTTACGGATAAAAAGGTTAGATCGATTGCGTTTTTATTTGTAGTGTGAACGCTTGTTTCAGATTAGACCGATAGAGATTGTTATGATTAAAGATAATGTCAAATAAGATCGATTAAAAAAGATGTTAGTGTAAACGGGGTCTATGACTTCACTGGGATGACCTGCTTTTAATTTAAATACTGGGCCAAATTAGACCAAACTTGATCTCAATCATTATTGGGGTATCTTATACTATTTATTATGATTTTGACCTTATTTTACATGATTTCCAAAACCACAGCAATTCTAGAAAAAGTAAGCGACACAGACTTTTGAGAGCCTCTAGTTTCAATGTTTCATCAATATATATCTGGATTTCTTTCTTTACATTTACATATCAGTAAAGGATATTTGAGCTTTCTTTCATTTTGTCAGAAAGCATAATTTTTACTTAGAAATGAGATTTTCAATACGATACCGTTAATATTATGTTGCGTGAGATTTCTGTAAATAATGTTAAAAAGAGAAATAGAAGAAGAACAAAAGCATTTTTAGTAAAGTTGTTGAATTTATTTTACAGATTTTTGAAGGCGCCTATGATCAGAACAGTATTGTGAATGTGACCTTGGATCCTCCCGTGTATGGGATGTACATAAGAATACACCCTGCAACATGGAATAATTATATTGGTCTGAGATTTGAATTGATAGGGTGCTCACATGCAAAGCTAATGTATTGTAAGTTAATATTACCCACTCATTGCAGGTGTGATCTGAGATTAAGCTCTCATTTAAAGATTGTGTGCTTTATAAATTTTAATCTTATTTTCCACTGGTTTATTGTATGTGATGTAAAAGAGTCTCATGGAGTACTGAAAATATACATTTCTTCATTTCTATTGGGTCATTACAGTTGATTTCATTGAGTTTGTAGGGAAAGGTAATATCTTTGGTTAGCTTGCTTGTTAGCTAAACCGTGAAGTCATTATTAGGTCAGGTATACTACCCTGCTTTCGAAGTAGCCTAGACAGATAGATTGGTTATCTTCTGGACTAGTCTACTCTTAAAGGAGGGTAGTTTACCTGACCTAACAATGACTTCACGGTTCGGTTAACAAGCAAGCTAACCAAAGATATTTCCTTTGGCTTCACACTGAATGAAATCGACTGTAAAATGATAGGGAAACATTGGCTAATGATTGCTAAGCTCTTTTAAAGTTTACCTGTGGTTTTAATTCACACCTGACTATTGATCACAAGCTTAGAAGTAATATTATAAAGAAATTAAAATTCCATAACAACTGCATGTCTTCATTATTTTTAATGTTTCCCTGAGGCATTAATATAGTTATTAGGAGGGCCCTCAGGATTATAACACTATACTGGAGAGGCAGTTTTATTACAGGAAATTTAGGGATAACAAAATCAAAAACAAGTTAAAGAAGAGATTAAGAAACCTAATCTCAATGAAATGACCAAAATTATTTCTGTAAAAAAATAAAATTTGTCCCAAATCCCAATCTGTCATGTAGAACAAATAGATTTCAGATTCGGTCATGAATGGCATATATCACCGTTTCCTGACCCTTGCAGATGACCCTGCTTTCCAACCAACATGGCAGACATGGCTAATAATAGAACATAGGGGTAAAATGCAATTTTTGGCTTTTTATCTCTGAACTAAAGCATTTAGAGCAAATCTGACAGAGGTAAAAAAGATCATCAAGTAAATATCTCACTGTTGAACCCATGCTGAATTTTTTGCTAAAAATGTATGAAATTGAAATAGAAAGTCATATTTTGTAAATTTCTCAGATAAGAATTAAGTAAAAGTACCTGTTTTTTCACTTCAAAATATGCAATTCATGGGATGTTGAATTTTTCAGCACAAGCTAGACATGATTGACTGTCACTTTTTAGCTCGCCTGTCCCAAAAGGGTCTGAAACTAAAGCAATGAGGGCAAATTGGACATGTGTTAAAGTCATATGAAACCTCAAATTAAAAAAAAAAGTATGCATATGTTTTTTATAACTAAATGAATAGTTTTCATTGTAAAACTTATGTACGTATACTCTTTTCTGAAGAAAATTCTTTAATTTGTCCACATTTAGAAGAAGTTTACTTTATTTTAATTGCTTGCTTGCAGGAAGCAATTCACCGACATATTTTCTGTATGCAAGTGACCTTAGCGTGACCCTCCTCGTAAAAATCTGGTGATCACAATACACATGGATCTGTCATTAAAATAAACTATTATCTGATTGTACATGTTATACACGTGCTCAATATCCATGCTTCTTTGTTGATTGTTTACTATAAGGTGACAATCGGTAAACTACGGCTTCAAAACACGGCAATTAATGAGCTGCCATATTTGTTAAATCTTAACAGACAGAGAGTAAAAAAATTGACGATTATGCGATATCTTTGTGTAAAAAATGATTACATCGTGCACAGAAGACTAAGTTTATGATATATACATGCATTGGTTCAAGAATTGGATAAACATTATTTTTCACCAGTCACTCGATTCATATGACTTTAAAAATGTTCAACAGAACAAAATCTCTCAGATACATCAGACAACCCGCTATTGGGTTGCTGCCCCTAAATTGGTAATTTTAAGGAAATTTTGCAGTTTTTGGTTATTATCTTGAATATTATAATAGATAGAGATAAACTGTAAACAGCAAAATTGTTCAGCAGAGTTGATCAATAATTAAGTCAACATGACAAAAATGGTCAATTGACCCAATAAAGAGTTATTGCCCTTTAAAGTCAACTTTTCACACCTTTTCGTAAATTTTTGTAAGTTTTTACAAGAATCTTCTCCTCTGAATCTACTGGGCCAAATTTAACCAAACTTGGCCTAAATTATTCTTAGGGTATTTAGTTTAAAAATGTCACATTTGGTTTCTGGACAATAACTTTAGTTTAAGTGAATGGATCTCTTTGAAATTTAATAAGAAGGTTCAATATCACAACAGGAAGGTTGGGATTGATTTTAGGGATGATGGTCCTAACCGTTTAGGAATTAGGGGCCCAAAAGGGGCCCAAAACAAGCATTTTTCTACTCCAGGATAATAACTTGTGTATAAGAATTTTAATTGCTCTGAAATTGTACCACAATGTTAAATACCATAAGTAGAAGGTTTGGATTCATTTTGGGGGTTATGGTGCCAACAGTTTAGGAATTTAGGGCCAAAAAGGGGCCAAAAACAAACATTTTTGTAGTTTCTGGACAATAACTTGTCTCTAACATTGTACCACAAGGTTCCATATCACAAAAGGAAGGCTGGGATTGAGTTTGGGGGTTATTGCCCCTTTCATGCAGGAATTTGAGGCCAAAAAAGGGCCAAAACAAGCATTTTTCTAGTTTCCAGACAATAATTTGTGTTTAGTTGTATTGATCTCTCTGAAATTGTACTACTAGGTTCCATTCTACAAAGGAAAGGCTAGGATCGAGTGTGGGGGTAATTGCTCCAAGGGGGATTCAAAAAGTTTGGGGGGTATAATTTTTTTAAGGGGTTCAATTTTTTTTTTCAAAATTTTTCAAATTTCAATTTTTTGAAAAGTTTAAAGAAGAAATATTTAATTGCACAGTATTGCACAATAGATTTGTAAGATCTTGACATTTGTTTTGTTTCAAAAACCTATATTATGTCAAAAATTTGATCACAATCCAAATTCAGACAGTATCAAGCTTGAATATTGTGTCCAAATTTGCCCCAACTGTTCAGGGTTCAACCTCTGCGGTCGTATCAGGCTGCGCTCAGCGAAGCATTTTATTGGCTTTTATCTTTGAAACTAAATCATTCAAAGCAAATCTGACCAGGGATGAACATGTTCATCAGGTCAAGATCTATCTGCCCTGACATTTTCAGACGCATCAGACAACCTGTTGAAAGGTTTCTGCCTCATAATTGGTATGTAATTTTATGGAAATTTTACAGTTTTTGGTTATTATCTTCAATATTATATTAGATAGAGATAAACTGTTAAAAACAGCAAAATTGTTCAGCAAAGTAAGATCTACAAATTATTCAACATGACCAAAATGGTCAATTGGCCCCTTTTTTAAGAGTTAATGCCCTTCATATTCATTTTTTGACATTTTTTTGCAAATTTTGAAATCTTTTTCAAAAATCTTCTATGAAACTACTGAAACAAATTTTAAAAAACTTGGCCAAAATCATTATTAAGGTATCTAGTTAAAAAATGTGTCAGATGACCCTGCCTACCAACCAACATGGCTGAAATTGCTAAAAGTAGAACATACGGATAAAAGGCAAGTTTTGTCTATTATTTTTTTAAACGTTATAAATAGAGAAAATCTTAAAGGAAAAAATATGTTCTAAATAATGAGCTCTACCAATTGTCCATATATACGTCAAAACTGTTGGACAAATTCTTATACTAGTAATTTCCCATAAATGACAAATTTTACGATTTTTTTTCCATTTTTGCCTTTTTTAGCTCACCTGGCCCAAAGGGCCAAGTGAGCTTTTCTCATCACTTGGCGTCCATCGTCCGGCGTCCTGCGTCCGTTGTCCGTAAACTTTTACAATAATCTTCTCTGAAACTACTGGGCCAAATTTGACCAAACTTGGCCACAATCATTATTAGGGTATCTAGTTTAAAACATGTGTCCGGTGACCCGGCCAACCAACCAAGATGGCCACCATAGCTAAAAATAGAACATAGGGGTAAAATGTAGATTTTGGCTTATATCTCTGAAACCAAAGCATTTAGAGCAAATCTGACGGAGTAAATTTGTTTATCAGGTCAAGATCTATCTGCCCTGAAATTTTCAGATGAATTGGACTACCCGTTGTTGGGTTGCTGCCCCTGAATTGGTAATTTTAAGGAAATTTTGCCGTTTTTGGGTATTATCTTGAATATTATTATAGATAGAGATAAACTGTAAACAGCAATAATGTACAGCAAAGTAAGATCTACAAATAAGTCAACATGACCAAAATTGTCAATTGACCCCTTAAGGAGTTATTGCCCTTTATAGTCAATTTTTTACAATTTTCATAAATTTTGTAAATATTTGTAAATTTTTACAAAATATTTTCCACTGTAACTACTGGGCCAAGTTCATTATAGATAGAGATAATTGTAAGCAGCAAGAATGATCAGTAAAGTAAGATCTACAAACACATCACCATCACCAAAACACAATTTTGTCATGAATCCATCTGTGTCCTTTGTTTAATATGCACATAGACCAAGATGAGCGACACAGGCTCTTTAGAGCCTCTAGTTCATGAAAACTATATGTAGAGATTAACAATTATTTGGATAATTGATGTTTATATAAAGGATTATCTCAGTTTTAGTCAAAAGATAAGGTTTCCCCATTTTGTACCTCTAGATCATGTTAGCCTCATTTTCAACTTAGTTTGGGATATACGTCATCAGTTTACTGCTTTCAGATCAATAGCAGTGCCCTTTTGTCGTCAGATATTTTCAGTACATTTTGATTGGATTTTCATATTTTAAATTTCCGCCACCATCCCCAACTCTCTCCTTTTGTTGCCAGTGCCTCTGGGGATTATATAGTAGTCATTATTAATTGTTGTATATACATGTACTTATAGCTGTAATTTTATGACTTTAGTTCTTTGAATTCATGTTTTTGTAAATATAATTTGATATTTTATACTACTCATGCTGATGTATGAGTTTGTTTTATTCTCTACTCATGCTAACGTATGAGTTTCCTTTAACCT